TGATGGACAACGTCGATCATGGGGTGCTACACAAGTACCATTTTGCTTGCAAAGTGTATCAAAACCATTTACCTATGCTATTGCTATGGATGAACTTGGTGCAGAAGAAGTAAGTATACTTATTTTTTTTTTTTTTTTTTTAAATTTTGTAAAAATTCTTATAAATTTTAATAATTGATTAACAATATTTGTGTATTTGTTATCTTGAAATTGAAAAGCGAAAAGACAGAAAAATTAAAAAAAAAAAAAAAAACTTTCACTAATTTAACTTTAATTTACTTTTCTTTTTTTTTTTTAAATTAATTTATTTAACTTTGAAAAAAAAAGAAAAGAATTTTTTTTTTTTTTTTTAAAGGTACATAAATATATCGGTCAAGAGCCATCAGGTCGATTATTCAATGAAATTTGTTTGGATCATAATCGTAAGTGATTCAATTTTTCTTTTTATTTTTCTTTTGCTATTTTCTTAGTCAAACTGTGGCATTTGTAAATAAATCATAAATCTAAATAAAAATGACAATGTAGAAATTTTTATGTAAATATTAAATAATTTGTTTAGTAATACATTTATTAGAATATATATTTAGTAATCTTTATTCTTTATATGAAAAAGATGCGAAAAAAAAAAAAAAAAAAATATATTGAGGAAAAGTGGTTTTTAAATTTTTATTTATGCATGAAATACATCAATTATGTGCAATAATTATTGTGATTTGCTTTTTTTTTTTAAAAAAAAAAATTTTATCTTATAATTAATCAAATAAGATATAATTAATTAATTCAAAATTGATTTATATCATTTATAATTAATTCAAAATTGATTTATGTCATATTGGCATTTTGGCAAAAAAACTTTAAAAATTCATATATCATTAGTGGATGAAGTGAAATAATACATATAAATGATGATTTTTTTTTTCTTTTTAACTAATAAAGATAAAATTATTTGGTTAAAAAAAAAAAAATTAAATTTAATTGCTTTTTTTTTTCCCCTATCTAAATTATAAAAGTTAAATTATGTGAATCATAAAGATGTGAATATCTTTTACATTATATTATTAGTTTTTTCTTTTTTCTTTTTTTTTTTGAAATTAATTCTATAATTAAACTTTTTTTCTTCTTTTTTTGAAACTAATTCCATAATTCATTTTATAATTTAAAGTTTTTCTTATGGTGAAAAAGTTTATTTCTATTTCTATAATTTGAATTTAAATGAAGTGAAAAAAAAAAAATAGATAAATTTGAAAAATGTAATCTTTTTTTTTTCGAAAATATAAAAAATTTTTTTGTTTGTTTGTTTGAATAATTATTTATGCTTATAGCAAGTAAATGATTGATTTTTGTTAATTTTAATGTCTAATATTTAGCATTTGAGTGGATTTTCTAATTGTATGTTTTTGCATTTAAATCTATTAGTTTGATAGAAGAAACTAAATTACTTTATGTGATGTTGTTGAAAAGGCAAAAAAAATTCAATTATTAGAGTGAAAATGTTTGCTATCCATTTTTACATTTAAATATCAAACTTTTCAATCAATTATTAACATAAACAAAATATTTTTTTGTTTTTTTTTTCTTACTTAGAATTTTAATGAATTTTATTTTAATGAAGATTTTAATTTTAATGAAGTAAAAAAAAAGTGAATGAAATAAATTACATAATTAAAAAATGAAATATGAAATTAAAATAATTTGTGGGAGAAGGAAGAAAGTAAAAAAAAAATAGAGTGAAACATGCAATTATGATTGAAATTTAAATGTAAATTTACATAATTAAAAAATGAAATATGAAATTAAAATAATTTGTGAGAGAAGAAAGAAAGTAAAAAAAAAATAGTGAAACATGCAATTATGATTGAAATTTAAATGTAAATTTACATAATTAAAAATGAAATATGAAATTAAAATAATTTGTGAGAGAAGAAAGAAAGTAAAAAATAGTGAAACATGCAATTATGATTGAAATTTAAATGTAAATTTATATAATTGAAAAATGAAATATGAAATTAAAATAATTTGTGGTAGAAGAAAGAAAGTAAAAAAAAGGAAAAAAAAATAGTGAAACATGCAATTATGATTGAAATTTAAATGTAAATTTATATAATTAAAAAATGAAATATGAAATTAAAATATTTGTGGGAGAAGAAAGAAAAAAAAAAAAAAAAAGTGAAACATGCAATTATGATTGAAATTTAAATGATATTAAAATGAAAAAAAATATATATATATATATTTGATATTAAATGAAAAAATATATATATATATAGATGTATAAGCATAAAACGAAGAAATTTTATTTAAATTATAAATTTTTGAAATTTGAAAAATTTAACAAAAAAAAGAAAAATTTTTTTTTAAATAAAAAGAAAATTAATGGAATAATAATAGAAAAGAAAAGAAATAGGAAAATTTTTTTTTTCAGATAAGCCACATAATCCAATGATCAATGCAGGTGCAATATTAGTAGCATCATTACTTAAACGTTCCAATTCACTTGCTGATCGTTTTGATTTTGCATTGCAATATTTTAAACGATTTGCTGCTGGTGGTTTTGTTGGTTTTAATAATGCTGTTTTTTTATCTGAACGTGAAACAGCTGATCGTAATTATGCATTATCATATTATATGCGTGAACATAAATGTTTTCCACCAAAGACAAGTTTACAAGTAAATAACTTTTTTTTTTTAGAATATAAATTTGTTTTGTTTTTTTTTAAATTATGAAACGAAAAATTTCCTTTGATTTCGTTTTTCTCTTTGAATAATTGAATTTCTTTTTGTTTGATTTACTTTGAAAAATTTCATTTGATAATGTGAATTTGATAGTGTTATTTTAATCTAAACAAGTTTACAAGTAAATAACTTTTTTTGTTTTCTTTTTTTTAGAATATAAATTTGTTTTGTTTTTTTAAATTATGGAACGAAAAATTTCCTTTAATTTCGTTTTTCTCTTTGAATAATTGAATTTCTTTGAATTTTTTTGTTTGATTTTCTTGAAAAAATTTCATTTGATAATGTGAATTTGATAAGTGTTATTTTAATCTAAACAAGTTTACAAGTAAATAACTTTTCTTTTTTTAGAATATAAATTTGTTTTGTTTTTGTTTTTGTTTTTTTTTTTGTTTTTCTTTTTTTAGAATATTAAATTTGAATTTTTTTTGTTTGTTTTTTTGAAAAATTTATTTGAAATGTGAATTTGATAATTTATTTTTAATTTCGTTTTTCTTTTTGATATAATTGTTTTCTTTTGTTTTTGTTTTTTTTTGTTTTCTTTGAAAAAATTTTGTTTTTTTTGATAAATTTGAAAATTTTTTGATTTCGTTTTATTTTGATAATTAATCTTTTGAATCTTTTGTTTGATTTTTTGAAAAATCATTTGATAAGAATTTGAAAGTGTTAAATCTAAAAAGTTTAAAGTAAATAATTTTTAGAATATAAATTTGTTTTGTTTTTGTTTTTGTTTTTTTTTGTTTTCTTTTTTAGAATTAAATTGTTTTGTTTTTGTTTTTTTGTTTAAATTATGAAACGAAAATTTCTTGATTTTCTTTGAATAATTGAATAAATTTTCTTATTTTTGAAAAATTTATTTGATAATGTGAATTTGATAAGTGTTATTTTGATCTAATCTTATCATCTTACATAGTTTAAATATTTGAAAAATTGAGAAAGAAGAAATATTTTGATGTTTTTTTTTATTATGCAATTAAATACATAAGAATATGACAAGGGTTTCAAATTTGTCCTTATTTTGATTTGAAATTTTTTTCTTTTTAAACATTTAAAAAATTGTCCAACTATATTATATATCAAATTATTGCTTGCAAAATTTTGATTTGACTTGTTATATATTTTATTTTCAAATATGATCATTTTTTTTTTCAGTTCATAAAAGCATTTGATTGTTTGTTTGTTTTTTTTAGTCCATAACTAACCTAATTTAACCGTAAACAATATAAAATTTGTTTGTTTGTTTGTTTTTTTTAGTACATAACTAACCTAATTTAACCGTAAACAATGTAAAATTTGTTTATTTGTTTGTTTTTTTTTAGTACATAACTAACCTAATTTAACCTTATTATTGGACTTTTTTTTTTTACAAAATAAATTGATAGAATTTAATCTAATTTTTTATTTGATAATTTCAGGATACATTAGATTTATATTTTCAACTTTGTTCAATTGAAACAAATGTTGATACATTAGCAGTAATGGCAGCAACATTAGCTAATGGTGGAGTATCACCATTAAGTGAGGAACGAGTTGTATGTAATCGAGCGGTTCGTGATACGTTATCATTAATGTATTCATGTGGAATGTATGATTATTCTGGACAATTTGCTTTTAAGGTATCTTTTATGGTTTTCAAAAAAAAAAAAAAAAAAATTAAGATTGAAATCTATTCAAAAATTAAGATTGAAATGTTTTATTTAATTATTTAATTTTATTATTATATGAAAGCCTTTTTTGTTTTTCTTTTTTTTTCAGGTTGGTTTACCGGCAAAAAGTGGTGTATCCGGTGATATGATTATTGTTGTACCAAATGTTATGGGTATTTGTTTATTTTCACCACCGCTTGATCAACTTGGTAATACAGTTCGAGGTGTAAAATTTGCGGAACAATTTGTGGAAAAATTCAATTTTCATAATTATGATAGTCTTGTATGTTTAGATTGGATATTTATTTGTAAATTTTGCTATAAAATTTGATAATTTTTCAAAAAAAAAAAAAAAAAAGATATGTTTATTATTTATTATATTAATAAATTATATGTTTATTATTAATAATTTATTAATAAATTAGATATGTTTATTAATAAATTATAAATTTTTCATCACACTAAAATTAAATTTTAAGCTTATAGATTAAAATAAATTTATGTGAATAAATGTTTTTCTTTTTTTTTTTTTTTTTTACAATTTTATTTTAAGGTCTACTCTGAAACGCATAAGATTGATCCTCGAAAAAGATTCGAGAAGTGAAACATGAATCTGTATCAAATATGATGTATGCTGCAACTACTGGTGATATTTCATCTATTCAAAGGTGAAATTTAATATGTTTTACTTATTTTCAGATTCAGATTAAGTCAGTTTTTCATTAGCAGTGATGTGACATGAATTTAATCATGATAATTTGATTAAACTTTAATTGGAAATTAAATTAAATGGATTGGATTTTTTCTTTTTTTTGAAGTTTAATATATGATCATTATTAGAGTTTAATTTAAATTTAAAAGAAATTTTAAAAAATTTTCAACGTATAAAGTATGAAAAAAAAAACTGAAATTGTTAAAGTTGATCATGATTAGAGTTTAATTTAAATTTGAAGAAATTTTAAAAGATTTGTTGTAAAAAAATTTTCAACATATAAAATCTGAAAAAGCAAAAAGAAAAGACAACTAAATGAAATAATAATTTAGTAGAGTTTAATTTAAATTTTCAACATATAAAGTCTGAAAAAAAAAAAAAAAACCAAAATTTTTGAAGAATTTGAAAATATGAAAAAAGAAAAACCAATTAAATGAAATAATAATTTAAAAAAAAAAAACTTGAAGAATTGAAAATATGAAAAAAATTAAATGAAATAATAATTTAAAAAAGACCAAAATTCTTGAAGAATTTGAAAATATGAAAAAAACCAATTAAATGAAATAATAATTGAAAAAAAAGACCAAAATTCTTGAAGAATTTAAAAATATAAAACAATTAATGAAAATGATTTGAAGAAGTTTATTTTAAAGTTCAACATATAAAATGAAATTAAAATCTTGAATTTAAAAAAAAAAAAAATTCTTGAATAATTTAAAAAAAAAAAAAAAAAAAACAATTAAATGAAATAATAATTTAAAAAAAAAAAAAAAAAAATAAAAAAAAATAGAAATTGAGAGTGAATGATTTAAGCAATTTTGCTAATGCTAATATTTTTTAAAATTATACAAAAATAATAAAAATATGATTAGAGTTGTAAATTATTCTATTTAAAAATAATTTTCAGATATCTTTTATTGGGTGCAAGTATCGCTGAAAGAGATTATGATGATCGTACTGTTTTACATGTTGCTGCAGCACATGGTAATGAGAATGTTCTCAAATTTTTATTGCAACGATGGCAAGAAAGTCCAGGTAAACAAAATTACTAAGAAATTCAAATACTAAATAATATAATCATAGTAAATTGATAACGATTATCATTTTTTTATCAGCATTATCTATTTTAGATATTATTATATTGAAGCAGTAGGTAATTCATAGTACTATAAAATTAGGTTAGAAAAAAAGTCGAGAATTTAAAAAAATCAGAATTTAAAAAAAAAGTATTAATAATAGTTGTTTATATTAGTTTTAGATCATATTTCAAATTTGTCTCTTTTTTTTTTTATGAAAAATTTTTTTTTATGAAAAATTAAAATAGTTTAGATCCATTGGATCGTTATGGACGAAACCATTGGATGATGCTAGAGAATTTGGTCATAGTAATTGTGTGGAAATTTTAGAAAGAGCTTTACAAAAGTATATAGCAAAAATACAAGAGAAAAATAGTCCTTTTACAAGTTAATTGTAAACAATTTGTTAACAGAAAAGTTATTTTTGTTTTTTTTTTTTTTTTTTTTTATGTAGAAATTTACTTTATGTCTTTTTTCTTTTTTTTTTATTTTGCATTGAAATTTAAATTTTATATTTCTTTATCTATCATATTTATACAAATTTAATTTTTATGTCTTTTTTCTTTTTTTTTTATTTTGCATTGAAATTTAAATTTTATATTTCTTTATCTATCATATTTATACCCATTCCTGAATTTAAAATTCGTTTTGTTTGTCAAAAAAACACGAGAATTTTGTATTATTATTCACTCAGAGTGATCTCTAGAGATCATTAAATAGTCGAGAAATTTTTTTTTTTTTTTTTTTATGTAGAAATTTAATTTTTATGTCTTTTTCTTTTTTATTTTGCATTGAAATTTAAATTTTATATTTCTTTTATCTATCATATTTATACTCCATTCCTGAATTTTAAAAATTCGTTTTGTTTGTCAAAAAGAAAAAAAAACATTAGAATTTTGTATTATTTACTCAAAGTGATCTCTAGAGATCATTAAATATTCGAGAATTTTCTTTTTTTTTTGATTTATTTATTTATGTTTTAGTCTTTCCTTTTTCATATCTCTCATTTTTAACTTCTCATAGTTACAAATTATGAGATTAGTGTTAATGTCTATTAGAGGATGAAAAATTAGGAAAGAAGTGATATGATTATTGATTATTGATTACAGTGTATAAATTATTTCTTTCCAATAAACATTTGCTTAATAAACAACAACAACAACAACAACAACAACAGGCTAAAGAGAAAATAATAGTAAAAAAGCACTTCGATCATTTTAATGAATTTTTTTTTTTTTAAATTACTTTAAAATGATATTTTTAATAACTTTTTGATTACACCATATAACAACTTTAAAGCATTAAAATTGATAGTAAAAAAAAGAATGATGATAAAATTGATAAAATTGAATAAGCATTTTGAAATATAAACATGAAGAGATTGCATTAATCATCAAGAATCATTAAATTATTAACCTAGCAATTTTATATATTTTGATCACAAATCTTACTAAGAGCAATTATTCAATTTAAAATTTAAATAGCTTTACTACACAATTAATTAAATATTTCATATTTCAAACATGAAAAAGTAAAGCAGAAATGAGAATTTAGAAATAAAAACATTTTGTTCTCAGTTAAAAAAATTGATATGTATGAAGAGTGATAAAAAAACAAATTTAAAAAAAAAAAAAATTTAAATTATATACAAGAATAAAAGTTAAATGTTAATATTAACAACTATACAACATATAATCATTAATCATTAAAAGTTTTAAATAATCTAATTTTGCTTTATAAAAATTTTTTTTTTCATATACTAACATTTTTCATTAATTAAATACTTTTTTTTTTTTTTCAATAAAAATGAAAATTTCAGAATTAATATCGTGAATTTCTATCAATATCATCTTCTTCAGAATATGAATTAATAATATATTTGTAAATTGATTTTCTCCAACAATTTCAATACGATTTTCACTTTCATTAATTGCTGCAATTTCACGTGCTTTATCCTAAAAAAAAGAAAAATATTGAAATTACAAATCAAATAATTAAAAAAAAAAAAAAAAAAACATTTAGATGTAAATAATAAAATAGTTTATTCTCAATATTAGTACCAAAATAATTTCTCAAAAAAAAAAAAAAAAAAATTTACTCTTCAATTTTTATGAATAACATTAGAATTAACTATTACTGATATTATGAGGACAATATGACAGTGTTTCTTTTTTTAAAAATATTTTAAAAAATACATACTATTTTATGTATAATTATACTTGCAGGAATCCATATAATCAAAACAATAGCTGCAATGATACCAACCAAATTGTCACCAACAAATTTCAAAAAAAAAAAAACAAAAAATTATTTACTGCTTAAGTTTAATCATTCTCGAATATCATTTCTCGAAAAAAAAAAAGAAAAATTATTTACTGCTTAAGTTTAATCATTCTCGAATATCATTTCTCGAAAAAAAAAGAAAATTGTTTACTGTTTAAGTCTAATCATTCTCGAATATTATTTCTCGAGTATTCTAATAAAAGGAAGTAAATTTTGAATATTACAAAATTTAACTATAATTTGAAATTAGCAATTTCAAAAATATAATGTCATTTGCATTTCATCAAAAAGCATAGATATGTATCTCTTTTTCTCGAATATCATTTCTCGAATATTCTAATAAAAAAAAAAAAGGAAGTAAATTTTGAATATTACTATAATTTGAAAAATTTAGCTATAATTTGAAATTAGCAATTTCAAAAATACAATATCATTTGTATTTCATCAAAAAGCATAGATATTATCTCTTTTTCTCGAATATCATTTCTCGAATATTCTAATAAAAAAAAAAAAAGGAAGTAAATTTTGAATATTAATATAATTTGAAATTAGCAATTTCAAAAATACAATATCATTTGCATTTCATCAAAAGCATAGATATGTATCTCTTTTTCTCGAATATCATTTCTCGAATATTCTAATAAAAAAAGGGAAGTAAATTTTGAATATTACTATAATTTGAAAAAATTTAGCTATAATTTGAAATTAGCAATTTCAAAATACAATATCATTTGTATTTCATCAAAAAGCATAGATATGTATCTCTTTTCTCGAATATCATTTCTCGAATATTCTAATAAAAAAAAGGGAAGTAAATTTGAATATTACTATAATTTGAAAATAATTTATTATAATTGAAATTAGAATTTCAAAATACAATATCATTTGCATTTCATCAAAAAGCATAGATATGTATCTCTTTTTCTCGAATATCATTTCTCGAATATTTAATAAAAAAAAAAAGGAAGTAAATTTTGAATATTACTATAATTTGAAATTAGCAATTTCAAAATACAATATCATTTGCATTTCATCAAAAAGCATAGATATGTATCTCTTTTTCGAATATCATTTCTCGAATATTCTAATAATAAAAAAAAAGGGAAGTAAATTTTGAATATTACTATAATTTGAAAAAAAAATTTAGCTATAATTTGAAATTAGCAATTTCAAAAATACAATATCATTTGTATTTCATCAAAAGCATAGATATGTATCTCTTTTTCTCGAATATCATTTCTCGAATATTCTAATAAAAAAAAAAGGAAGTAAATTTTGAATATTACTATAATTTGAAAATTTAGCTATAATTTGAAATTAGCAATTTCAAAAATACAATATCATTTGCATTTCATCAAAAAGCATAGATATGTATCTCTTTTCTCGAATATCATTTCTCGAATATTCTAATAAAAAAAAGGGAAGTAAATTTTGAATATTACTATAATTTGAAAAATTAGCTATAATTTGAAATTAGCAATTTCAAAATACAATATCATTTGTATTTCATCAAAAAGCATAGATATGTATCTCTTTTCTCGAATATCAATGAATATTCTAATAAAAAAAAAGGGAAGTAAATTTTGAATATTACTATAATTTGAAAAAATTTAGCTATAATTTGAAATTAGCAATTTCAAAAAATACAATATCATTTGCATTTCATCAAAAAGCATAGATATGTATCTCTTTTTCTCGAATATCATTTCTCGAATATTCTAATAAAAAAAAAAGGAAGTAAATTTTGAATATTACTATAATTTGAAATTAGCAATTTCAAAAATACAATATCATTTATTTCATCAAAAAGCATAGATATGTATCTCTTTTTCTCGAATATCATTTCTCGAATATTCTAATAAAAAAAAGGGAAGTAAATTTTGAATATTACTATAATTTGAAAAAATTTAGCTATAATTTGAAATTAGCAATTTCAAAAATACAATATCATTTATTTCATCAAAAGCATAGATATGTATCTCTTTTTCTCGAATATCATTTCTCGAATATTCTAATAAAAAAGGGAAGTAAATTTTGAATATTACTATAATTTGAAAAAAATTTAGCTATAATTTGAAATTAGCAATTTCAAAAAATACAATATCATTTGCATTTCATCAAAAAGCATAGATATGTATCTCTTTTTCTCGAATATCATTTCTCGAATATTCTAATAAAAAAAGGGAAGTAAATTTTGAATATTACTATAATTTGAAAAATTTAGCTATAATTTGAAATTAGCAATTTCAAAAATACAATATCATTTTGCATTTCATCAAAAAAGCATAGATATGTATCTCTTTTTCTCGAATATCATTTCTCGAATATTCTAATAAAAAAAAAGGGAAGTAAATTTTAAATACTAATATAATTTGAAAAATTTAACTATAATTTGAAATTAGCAATTTCAAAATACAATATCATTTGTATTTCATCAAAAAGCATAGATATGTATCTCTTTTTCTCGAATATCATTTCTCGAATATTCTAATAGAAAAAAAGGAAGTAAATTTTGAATATTACTATAATTTGAAAAATTTAGCTATAATTTGAAATTAGCAATTTCAAAAAATATAATGTCATTTGCATTTCATCAAAAAGCATAGATATGTATCTCTTTTCTCGAATATCATTTCTCGAATATTCTAATAAAAAAAAAAGGAAGTAAATTTTGAATATTACTATAATTTGAAAAAATTTAGCTATATTTGAAATTAGCAATTTCAAAATATAATGTCATTTGTATTTCATCAAAAAGCATAGATATGTATCTCTTTTCTCGAATATCATTTCTCGAATATTCTAATAAAAAAAAGGAAGTAAATTTTGAATATTACTATAATTTGAAAAATTTAGCTATAATTTGAAATTAGCAATTTCAAAAATACATATCATTTGTATTTCATCAAAAAGCATAGATATGTATCTTTTTCTCGAATATCATTTCTCGAATATTCTAATAAAAAAAAAAAGAAGTAAATTTTGAATATTACTATAATTTGAAAAATTTAACAATTTGAAATTAGCAATTTCAAAATACAAATCAT